TCCAGTATTTTCTGCAATTATATCTAGTTTAGTTCACCTTAATTGCACCCAGTGAATGATCTATTGACTTAGCTTACTCACTAAAATGTATAATATATGCAAAGAGTAAAATTATAATTTCTCTCTCAGCTTCTATTGATAAAATTATACAGTAGCCTTGTTATAGTAAGAACTAGCAAATCCTAGGTCACTATAATGACAGTTCAAAATATCATTAGTATGTCATAAAAAAGCAATCAACCCTTTAGAATATGTAGATGGCTACATCATAAATCTTTGGTGAGAATCAGTCTACAATTCTACAAGTTGTAATAAAATTCATAGAACAACACTCTTGAGAAAAGAAAAAAACAAAAACAACCTAACTTGACCACAATTTAATTATTTTCATAACATAAAATAAAAATTACTATTCCCATAATAAAACAAAGTTAGAAATATCAGTTAAACTGTTTATACACACAAACTCACATAGACTTAACATCAGGTTTTACAAAAAATAAGATCTATAAATAGCAAACTCACAACTTCTTCAGATATAATGGTGGTTGAAGAATAATCATTGTGTATTTCAACACTATGAGCATGAAACACTAACTCAATGTCACTCCTTGTTTCCATTACCAAAGGCCGCCAACGTCGAATTAAAACACCACTGTAAAATATGTTTAAGATGAACATCTTCACAATCTTATATTGCATGTGAGTGACAATAGAATTAGAAACATAAATGAGAAATTCTATCTAAAATCTTGCAAACACTGGTAATTTTTAACAATGAACAAATATGCTAAATGAAAAGAACAATGATATTTTGTTGTTTTTCTGACCAATGTTAGGTGAAAAAAAAATGTTTCAGAAAATACAACCTTTCTATTAATAAGTATGGACTAACATAAAATACAAGATTTTGGTAAGGCAATTTAAAGCAGAGTTTAATTTATATATATAGTTTTCATTGCTTTTGTTTTGTCTGAAATTTACTGCAGGGATCCTTTCAATACTGTTATGAATCTAGCAGAAATAAGACAAAAATTCACATTAATAAATATGAATAAAAACTGTGCTTTTAAACTCGTATAACTAAGTTATATTACACTTTACGTAAAGACTGGCTTACACCTACCTGATGAGAACATCATGACCAGGTTTACAACAATCAACCAAATCATTCTCTAACACAATCCACATTGAACGAGGCATGGTTCCTACAACAAGATGATGAACTTGTTCTTGAATTTTAATTTCCTGGTAGTCCCTGCAGCAGTTTGGATCCATTTCTATAAAAAGTTAAGAAACATTTTTTAAATATGAAAGAAAAATAATGACATATATATCCCTATTAATATACATAAAAAATATTTAAATAGATTATTTACTTAAGTGCTAAAACTTCACATCATAGGAATCCAAAAAAATTTGTATATTGTGAAAATCAAAGCTATACAATGAATTATCCATGCTGGGATCTAACCATAAATTATAAGCCCTCAAGCTGATCACTGGGGAGAAATGACTTTTACTTTAATAAACTGTATAAAATTGTGTTTCCCATCTCAGCATGTACAAGTTGCTTGTCTTAAATTTTCACTTAATGTTTTTTTTTTAATTCTGGATGACAAGTAATTGAAGAAGAGGTATTTTCATATTTTCTTTATGTGAGACTAATCTCTTTTTTTTTTGTTTAAAGTAAATTTTTGCTAACTTCAGCATTTTTAGATTTTTTAAAATGTAGACCATCTAACATATCAATTAAAATGATTTTTTACTTGCAAATTTTGAAGCCATTAAATGTCATCCCTGAAATTTGTGATAATTAATCTGTTGCCATATCCAGGTACAAGTATGCTAAGTTAGCAAAAAAGTTTGAAACTTCAAAATACAAACTCCTCCCTAGGTTGGACAGAAAATTTTGAAATTTGTAAATGAAATGATGAAATGTTTGTTATGTGGGTCACTAAATTTATTTATTATAGATTCCTCTTAAGCATTTTTCAGAAATACTAATTAAAGTACCTTTATGTTTTTAAAAGACAAATTGAAATGGATTGTATATTCATTCTGTACTTCACTACTATGTTTTTATCCTGCATTTTTCACACACTCTGTGTATCTCCAAGGCCTTTCAAACATTACTTGTAATAATTAGAGCAACTACTGAATCATGTTAATCTTTTATTTTATTATGAGCTACAGCCTTTTTACAGTAAGAAAATATTCTTAAAACAGCTATGACATTTCTATGACATTTAGAATGATTGCACCAGTGATCAAGATATTGTGCACATTTTAAAGAAAATGTTCTTTCTTATTGTAAAATCTGTAACTCATAATAATACTTATTATCAGTAAGTAATCTAAAAACGAAATACTTTAATCATTGATTTCTTAGAAAGCTACATAATGGGCTATCTGAACTTTGTCCACTATAGGGAGTTGAACCCCAGATTTTAGTGTTGTAACTCAATAAACTTACAATTACTTTGATTGGCTGGAGGGAGTGCAATGATAGATAAAGTCTATGATGTCAAACTAATTTTGATTTAAATCCAAACTGTTTGGCCTAGTAGTTTGTGATATATAAATGCAATGTTTTGGTTTTACTTTCATAAAATGATTAAAAATGCAAAACCTAATATTTATTATATCTGTTACTTCCCATTGTGTGTTTGTTTTTCCACAAACTCCTCCCACTCTTTTAAAAGTAGCATGACCAAATTTGGTAGGTGAAAACAGGGTGGCTTAGAGAAGTCCTTAGCTGCACAGCATAAAGTTCCTACAAATGGTAGCTAAAACATGTCTGTAAGGTCACCCAAGCATGATGGGGGTCTGAGACTAAGTGTTCAGGGATGCCGAAACCCAAATCTGGCATTGAAATTTGTGTTCCTAGTCCCCTAAGGATCCTAGGGAGTGCCGTGCCTGAAACTGTGTTCATACCTCCACTCATGAGCTGGTGAAACGAAACGTGATGCACATGCTCAGATTATACAGGCAGGTGTCCTAAATGTTTTTTTTTCTGGGTACAGACCCCCCCCCTTCAGGGTGGCTATAGAAGTACTTGAGGTTAATTTCTTAATCACTATACTGAGCCGTTGTGAATCGGAGGGGGCTTTGAATCCTACAACAGAACATGGGTATTTTATACTGGTTTGTACTAAATGTCAGAACACGAAACCACAAAAATCGAGGGTGCCCCCTCTCTCTCTAATCCAAAAAACACGATGTATAAGGTATCAGTTTTCTTTACATACATTTTATACTACTACATGTGCATAGTTTTATCCAGGCCTATTCATGGGTCAAATTGTACATTCCAGTAAAAACAGGTTTCTACATTTTCCAAGTTGATGTTGAGTTTTTATACTAATTTATACACTGTCAGGAGGTATTATAACAATTATCCTTTAATTTCTATATTCCTTGTAATTAAGAAGGAAATATACTGTCATCCTACAAAGCAAATATTTCAAGATACAAGGAAAATAATTGTTTTGCATTAGATACATTAGATATGCAATTACTTTTCAAATACTACAAGGTAAAGTTTCTATTCACAAGTTTTTTTTCCCAGTATAAAGGGTTTCAGGGTCCAAAATCACAAATAAAACCCCCAGATTTTATGTACTAGTGTTGCAGTTAAAAGAACTGCTGATTTCCTCTTTCTGTACCTAGTTAAGAATATTTCTATACTTAGTTATATTCTAGTCCATTTTTCTAACTATTCATCGAGGTGTGCATATAGTCAGTGACATTCGAGTATTAAAACTAGGTGTGGAAAGGTCATACACATACACTAATATCCTAATTTAGAAAAGGATTATATAGCCCTAAAAATGTTCTTTAAGGCTTATATTTGCATGACCTATTTTTGTGTCAAGTCCTCCTGCTGTGAAGTTTTACTCATTTCAGTGGGATATATAGACTTGTACAAGTTAGTATGAATATGTATATTATAAATGACCATTGACTTTGCTGCACTAGGATTTCGGTCTGTAATAAAAGCATGGGATTATTACAATTCTTCTAATTCCTGTCTTTGTTTTATGTCAAGTTACTTTTCTCCAGCTCTAACAACGAAAGAGTTCAATAAGAAATGTAGTCTGACCAGTAGAAGATAAATTGCCAGAAGTATTCATTGTAAGAATTAAAAAAAAACAAAAAACTTTTACTTGTGTACTTATGTATACGTGTTTTTCCTTTGATGTCTGTGTTCATTTTATCCTCTGCATAATTTTCCTGGATCCTGCTGTACTGGAGATACTTAATACTTTTTCGCTTGAGATCAGTGCACCTGAATACTATGTAGTATGTTTTTTGGCATTTTGTTTATTTTGAAAACGTTTTAAAATATTCTTTTATATTAATATCAAACAATCATTTTTGAAATTGTGTGTTACAAGTTTGTCCAAGTGATATGTTCACACAGTGTCATAGCTTTATTGTTTAAGTGGTATAAATACTAACTGTGTCTAGCCTCTTGGATTATCAAAAAAGTGAATACTATCATAGCTGAAACACATTGTAGTTAACTTTAAGGTGTATAAGTAAACTCCTCAGCAGATTTAGTAAGTGGATAAGAAACTACTTTATAACATGTCAGGTATCAGATATTTTGTTGTTTTGGAAATGATTAAGTAAAATAGGCCTAATTATAAGTGGAAGATTATAAAAGTGATACATATTTTGGATAAACTAAAAGTTGAACTCTTGCACAGTAAAGTGTCTGACAAAAAGAACTATAAACAAAACATAACTAAACTAAAGGTACACACAAGAATTTTATTTACAAATAGTTTACGAAATAGTTACAAATTTAAAGGAACCCAGTTGAAAGCTTGATACATAAATCACAAAAATATGTGCTTTATCAGTTAAACATACACATGACCTTTGGCTACTTATAACTTTAGTTGTTTCTCTGTATTTTGTGCCACTCTTCATCATCACATTTTACTGATAGATATATGCTAATCAGAGTTTGTAAAGAGTTAACCAAATAGAAACTATCTTATTTACTCTATATGTAGCAACTGGCATAGCATTAAAATCCAGGCTTTATCTATAAGTTTTCTAATATATCTTTGTATAAATGTACTGGGATTTGTGAATGAAACAAAAATGTATTATTCAAAACAAAATTAATAAACTATAGTAACAAAAGCACAAAATGATTAGTTGAAAAAATTAAGAAAGTGTTCAAATAATACTCAAAAAGCTGCAAGCATTTACTTGTATTTGAATGTGATGCCCCTTCTAACTGTCTTCAGAATTCAATTATTCCCCTTTTTGCTAACAAACTGAGCCCAAAAAAAGAAATGGGAGATAAACTTCAAAGCATCCAAACGGGATAAGTAATAGTGGGTAAAGGTGCTCTGATTAAGATTTTCTTAACCGATTCCAATAGCCAATGATTACAGAACCATATAGGTTGATATTAATGCAGATAATGTATTTTAAACTACTGAAAGAATTTAAAATTCAACCTATAGGTGATTTTTGTTTGGTTGCATTGATAGCAAAATTTCACATCATTTACTTGTTGTATTTAGTTTAGGAAAGGAATAAAAAGAATAACAATTATAAAAATAATTTAGAAAAATATTTTGCAATTGTGCTTATAAAAACACTTAGCAAAATATACATAAATACACATAATTTTTGAATTGTAATTTTAACTTTCATAACTTTATAGTACAAGCTTTATACATATAAGCAAAATTATTAATTTCCACACAAAAAATCCATCATAAACTGTTCAATTTATTTTACAAAACTCAGCCTAATAACTTTGCCACTTCAGAGAACAAAAGACAGCTTTCAGCTTCAAAACAATGTGAATATTCTTATACGCAATGTAGATCACACCAGAAAAAATAAACTGATGTTTTATATTTTGTAGTAGTAATAGTAATAAAGCTAATAATAATCAGTTTCAATAATTTACTTATTCAATTAATAAAGAAAAAAAAAAATGTCAGAATTATATTTATAGCTTCCTAGATGTATATAGTGTAGCACATGTTTGTGAGTGAAAGGTTCTTCTTCACAAGAAGCAACATTTTTGATTTATAATACATCAGTCAGTTGCTCTTCTCATTTACAAAACCTTTACTGGTGATGCCTCCATATGAAATTTTGCAGCACAAGGGGGGAGTTGCCCTTGAGCGCAGGTGTGAAGGGGCGCAAAACTTCCTCTGGCCTATAATGCCTACTAATTAATAATTATGCCCTCCCCTAGGATATAGCACAACTGCCCTACATTAAGTAAATACGACACA